AAATAGACGTATCCAGGTGTTAGAATGGCCAAGTCAAAGTCCAGACCTGAATCCAATCCAGAATCTGTGGAAAGAGCTGAAGACTGCTGTTCACAAACGCTCTCCATCCAACCTCACTGAGCTCCAGCTGTTTTGCAAGGAAGAATGGGAAAGAATTCCAGTCTCTCGATGTGCAAAACTGATAGAGACATACCCCAAGCGACTTGCAGCTGTAATTGCAGCAAAAGGTGGCGCTACAAAGTATTAGCGCAAGGGGGCCGAATAATATTGCACCTTTCAGTTTTTTAATTGTTAAAAAAGTTTGTATTATCCAATAAATGTCGTTCCACTTCACGATTGTGTCCCACTTGTTGTTGATTCTTAACCAAAAAAATAATTTTTATATCTTTATGTTTGAAGCCTGAAATGTTGAAAGGTTCAAGGGGCCGAATACTTTCGCAAGGCAATGTATGTATATTAAGTATGTACAGCAGGCATACATCAGAGGGCCAAAATAAACAAATATTCTGCGCAGAGGTTCGGACTGGTTCAATGTTTGAGCGGTGGTGCCACCTGCTGGCTTGATAAGATATGCTCAAAGCTAATTCCCATACATATTAGATATTATTTGATATAATAGACATCTGAGAACATGAAAATAGTGAAAAATGGCAGGCATGGATCTGGCTCGCAGGCCTTGACTTTGACACATGTGGTGTATAATATATATGTATATTAAGTATAGTATAGTACACACATATAGTATACATATGTAAATATAGTATATATAGTATGTACAGTATATATAGTATACATATGTGTATACATATGTATATATAGTATGTATAGTATGTTTAGTATACATGTGTGTATACATAGTTTATATATATATATATATATATATATATATATATATATATATATATATATATATATATATATATATGCGCAGAACCCTCAAGCTCCCTGGCCTCTGGTAGAGGACCCGAGCTTAGAGAGGGATAACCGCCCGCGGAGGGCCAAAGGTGAGTGGACAATTTTTATATATATATATATATATATATATATATATATATATATATATATATATATATATATATATATATATATATATATATGTGTGTCCTGTGTTTGCAGCTTCTATCCTGGTGTTTTTGAGAAGATGTTTGCCCAGAGCAGTGACGACATGAGACGGTTCCTGATGTCGTTTCCATCTGTGTGTTCTCTGTTCAGCTGCAGTGACCCGCTGTGTCCAGAAGAGGTCAGTCTGCTCTAGGACTACAACGGTCTGTGAGGACTATAACTCTGTGAGGACTAGAACTCTCTGAGGACTAGAACTGTCTGAGGACTAGAACTGTCTATGATGACTAGAACTCTCTGAGGACTAGAACTGTCTGTAAGGACTAGAACTGACTGTGAGGACTAGAACTGTCTGAGGACTAGAACTGACTGTGAGGACTAGAACTGTCTGTGAGGACTAGAACTGTCTGTAAGCACTAGAACTGACTGTGAGGACTAGAACTGTCTGAGGACTAGAACTGACTGTGAGGACTAGAACTGACTGTGAGGACTAGAACTGCCTGTGAGGACTAGAACTGTCTGTGAGGACTAGAACTGTCTGTGAGGACTAGAACTGTCTATGAGGACTAGAACTGTCCAGTAGCGGTACTGTTGATGTTGATTACATGTGTATAACAGTTATAGTGTTTTAAAGCTCAAGGACCTAACTTTGTTGAAGCATAAATAAAACATGTAGTTTGTTCCAACGGACAGAGTCTCAGCTGTGTGTGTGTGTCTGTGTCTCTATGTGTGTGCGTGTCTCTATGTGTATGTGTGTGCGTGTGTATGTGTGATGTGTGTGGGTGTGTGTCTGTGTGTTGTGTAGACTGAGGCCGTGGAGAAGAGAAGTGTGCGTCTGTGTGTGTCGTTCCTGGAGCAGATCGCTAAACAGACGAGTGACATCATCCTGGAAATCTGTGAAGATCAGAGAAAACTCCAGGAGCAGGTCAGTTATATATATATATATATATATATATATATATATATATATATATATATATATATATACATATATATATATATATATATATATATATATATATATATATATAAAATAAAAAAAAATTCCACTCACCTTTGGCCCTCCGTGGGCGGTTATCCCTCTCTATCCGTGGGCGGTTATCCCTCTCTATCCGTGGGCGGTTATCCCTCTCTAAGCTCGGGTCCTCTACCAGAGGCCTGGGAGCCTGAGGGTTCAGTATCTTTGCTGTTCCTAGCACTGCACATTTCTGGACCCAGATGTCCGAGGTTGTTCCGGGGATCCGCTGTAACCTCTTCTAGCTTCAGGGTCACTGCCCCGAGTGCACCGATCACCACGGGCACTACTGTGACCTTTACCCTCCAGGCCCTCTCCAGCTCCTCTCTGAGACCTTGGTATTTCTCAAGCTTTTCATGTTCCTTTTCCTGATGTTACCATCGCTTGGAATTGCCACGTCTATCACCACGACTGTCCTCTGCCCTTTGTCCACCACCACGGCTGTCCTCTGCCCTTTGTCCACCACCACGGCTGTCCTCTGCCCTTTGTCCACCACCACAGCTGTCCTCTGCCCTTTGTCCACTACCACGGCTGTCCTCTGCCCTTTGTCCACCACCACGGCTGTCCTCTGCCCTTTGTCCACCACCACAGCTGTCCTCTGCCCTTTGTCCACCACCACGGCTGTCCTCTGCCCTTTGTCCACCACCACGGCTGTCCTCTGCCCTTTGTCCACCACCACGGCTGTCCTCTGCCCTTTGTCCACCACCACGGCTGTCCTCTGCCCTTTGTCCACCACCACGGCTGTCCTCTGTCCTTTGTCCACCACCACGGCTGTCCTCTGCCCTTTGTCCACTACCACGGCTGTCCTCTGTCCTTTGTCCACCACCACGGCTGTCCTCTGCCCTTTGTCCACCACCACGGCTGTCCTCTGCCCTTTGTCCACCACCACAGCTGTCCTCTGCCCTTTGTCCACCACCACGGCTGTCCTCTGCCCTTTGTCCACCACCACGATGTCAGGTTGGTTCATTACCATTCGGTCGGTCTGTATCTGGAAGTCCCACAGGATCTTTGCACGCTCATTCTCCACCACCTTTGGAGGAGTTTCCCACTTAGACCTTGGGGTTTCCAGCCCATACTCTGCACAGATGTTTCTGTACACTATGCCAGCCACTTGGTTATGGCGTTCCATGTAGGCCTTCCCTGCAGCATCTTGCACCCTGCAGTTATGTGTTGGATCGTCTCAGGTGCCTCTTTGCACAACCGACACCTTGGGTCATGTCTGGTGTGGTATATCTGGGCCTCTATCGCTCTGGTGCTCAGGGCCTGCTCCTGTGCAGCCATGATGAGTGCCTCTGTGCTGTAGGCCAGCCCTTTCTAGCCATTGGTAGGACTTCTTGAGATCAGCCACTTCTGTTATGCTCCGGTGGTACATGCCGTGTAGGGGCTTGTTCTCCCATGATGGGCTCTCCTCCAGCACCTCCTCATCTCGCCACTGCCTGAGACATTCACTGAGTACGTCATCCGTTTTGGCCTTCTCCATGATGTAGTTATGGAGTTTGGATGTTTCGTCCTGGACAGTGGCTCTCACACTCACTAGTCCTCGGCCTCCTTCTTTACGGCTTACGTACAGTCTCAGGGTGCTGGATTTGGGATGGAACCCGCCACGCATGGTAAGGAGCTTTGAGTTTTAACATCCGTGGTCTGAATCTCAGTGGGAGTCTTTGACTCCCACTGATGACTGCTGTCGTTGTGTCCTTGGGCAAGACACTTAACCCCACTTTGCCTGAAGCTCCCACTGAAAGATCTCAGCTCCTGTGGACTCACCACCTGCAGGAGGATCAGTGAGGGGCTGGTGCTAAGTGGACTGGATGCAGCTCTGACTGCCACCCCCCCGACCCAGAAATGGATTAAGGGGAAGAAAATGGATGGATGGATGGATGGTCTGAATCTCTTCCTTTGGCCACCTGATTATTCCTGCAGGGTCTGATCACTGGCAGGGCGTAGCTGTAAATTGCCCGGGCCTTGTTCTTGCCATTGAGCCGGCTTCTTAGGACCTGCCTTACTCGCTGGAGGTATTTGGCAGTTGCCGCTTTCCTCGTCACCTGTTCGAGGTTGCCATTTGCCTGTGGTATACCGAGATACTTGTAACTGTCAAGCAGAATCTTAGAGTTAGTGGTAAATTCTCTAAGTCTACTTTCTGCGTAAACTTAGAGAATTTACCACTAACTCTAAGATTCTGCTTAACTTTTATGGCTGCACCATTGAGAGTTTACTTGTTGGTTCTGTGTCTGTGTGGTTTGGAAACATCACAGATAAAGAAAAGGGAGCTTTAAACAAGGTGCTCCGCTTTGCAAAGAGGACCGTGGGCTGTGAGCTTCCTGTTCTGGAGGTTCTTTATGAATCCAGACTTTTAAACAAAGCTCTTAGGATTGTTAATGACTCTTCTGGCCACCCTGGGAAAGCCATGTTCCAGCTTCTTCCCTCTGGCAGAAGATATCGCTCTCTGAGATGCAGGACATCTCGTTACGCTAACAGTTTTTATCCACAAGCTGTTATCAGTTTGAACAGTGCACTTTAACGATTTGCACTTGTTTTGAACTGTTTTAGTCGATCGATTTCACAGTGACATTTGTTTACTGTTTTATTTGTTTTTATTTTTGTCTTTTAATGTTGTTTTATGTCTGTATTTGTCTGTGCACACTGGAGACTTTTTGCTAATGTATTCCAATGTGGTTTTTTTACTGCAAATGGGAAATAAAATGAATCTGATCTGAATCTGAATCTGTCCTCAACGTCTGCTGGGTGGCACTGTGGCTGAGTGGATAGCACTCTCGCCTCTCAGATCTTAGCCTCCAACCGTCTTTTCCATGGTGGGTATTGTCCATGGCTCCCATGGTTGCTCTTATAGCGAAGTATCTCTAGGATCACTGCTGCTGAAGTGTATATCAGCTCATTGGTTTCAGTGATTGTGGTGGTAGGTATTGCCCTCACTGCTGCATTCACGCTTTCTATGAGATCCTTAGAATCAGAATCAGAATCAGAATCATTGTTATTGCCACGTAAGTAACAGGAGGTCACAGACTTGGAAATTGCTTTGGCTCAGTGCAACAGTCAAAAAGAGATAATAAAAATAAGAATAAAAAACACTTCTAAAGAATAAATTTAAATTTAAAATAGAGTTACAGTTACTATTTACAATATACAAGTGCACATGGTGCACACAATGTAAGGTGACAGCAGTACAGTGAGGTAAAGTGACGTATGATGGGCAGTAAAGTGACTTTATAAAGGGCGGGGGGACAGGTTAAGAAGTGTTCAAGAGTCCAACAGCAGAGGGGAAGAAACTGTTCTTGTGGCGGGAGGTTCTAGTCCTGATGGACCGCAGCCTCCTGCCTGAGGGGATCGGCTGGAATAGTCCAGTTAGGTGGTAACTCACACAACCGCTGTAACCGGTGTCTTTGCCCTGTGCCCATTCTAGCCGTGATCTTATGGGGCTTTCAGACCGCCAACGCTGAAACACGGAAGCCCCACATTCTCTAGTTTTCAGACGCAGAGGACTTCACACCAGAATGTCCCCTTGACCACTTTGCTGCTCTCTTTGCTGCTCGGTTGTCGCACGAACGACCCAAGGAAAGGATGAGCAGAATCCATCTCCTGTGGGCTTTGATTTTTCGCTTCTGCTCGCTCCGTTCGTACGTGCCGAGAGGTCCGTGCGTTGTGACGGTCGAACGCGCGCCACCATAGACTTTGCATTGAAACCCGACGCAACGCATGATCCGGTCTGAAAGCACCGTTAGCTTTCAGGTCAGTCGCTGCCTCGTTCAGCGTTATTGGTTGCATAGGGGCTATGTACCCAGTATCTGGTTGGGGAGTTGGAGTTGGTGGGATCTCCCCTCGGCAACTGTGGCATCATACATGTGTTGTACCTCATCGATCACTGTGATAGCAGTTGCAGTTTGTGGATGTTGGAGCATTGAGCTACCAGTTGTTTCGGGGTCAACTGTGACTGTGGGTTTTGAAGTAACCATTCAGCCCACATGGGCTCTTTGGCCAGGGTTACTGTTATCGGATCTCGCCCACTTTCGCCTTGTTCCAGTTGCCCACTTCTCATCAAGGTGCTCTGGTTCCCCAGCACCTGACGCAGACCTTGTTTGGCCGGGCGACGTCTGAGCCGGCATCTCATTGCTTATTTGTACCTTCATGGTTATGAGTTAGGGAGTAGCATTAAGGGTCTTGCCCAATGACCCACACTGGATGTTGGTGTTAATGTGCTCCCGGTGGGATTCGAACCCTGGCCTCCTAGGTCCCAGTCCTGCGCCCTACCAACTGAGCTATCCAGCTTGAGAAATACCAAGGTCTCAGAGAGGAGCTGGAGAGGGCCTGGAGGGTAAAGGTCACAGTAGTGCCCGTGGTGATCGGTGCACTCGGGGCAGTGACCCCGAAGCTAGAAGAGGTTACAGCGGATCCCTGGAACAACCTCGGACATCTGGGTCCAGAAATGTGCAGTGCTAGGAACAGCAAAGATACTGAACCCTCAAGCTCCCAGGCCTCTGGTAGAGGAACCGAGCTTAGAGAGGGATAACCGCCCGCGGATAGAGAGGGATAACCGCCCACAGATAGAGAGGGATAACCGCCCGCGGAGGGCCAAAGGTGAGTGGACAATTATATTATACATATATATGTCAGAGATATGTTAGAGTTTTATATATAACCGTGTCCATCAGCTGCTGCCCAGACACTGTGCGGAGGTGGTCAGCGCCGCTCGTCATCGGAAACAGAAGAAAACGGCACCGAAGAAAACAGACCAGAAACAGAACCAGAACCAGAACCCAGGATCAGAGAGTCTGAGGAAAGACCGGGCCGTTACCACCGCGTCAGTCTCACCAACATAACTCTAACTTATCTCTAACTTAACTCTAACTTATATCTAACTTATCTATAACTTAACTCTAACATATCTCTAACTTAACTCTAATTTATCTCTAACGTATCTCTAACTCATCTCTAACTTAACTCTAACATATCTCTAACTTATCTCTAACTTATCTCTAACATAACTCTAACTCATCTCTAACTTAACTCTAACTATCTTATCTCTAAAATAACTAACTTATCTCGAACTTATCTCAAACTTATTTCTAACTTATCTCTAACGTATCTCTAACTTATCTCTAACTTAACTTTAACTTATCTCTAACATATCTCTAACGTATCTCTAACTTATCTCTAACTATTGTATCTCTAACATAAGTCTATCTTATCTCTAACATATCTCTAACTTAACTCTAACATATCTCTAACTTATCTCTAACATATCTCTAACTTATCTCTAACGTATCTCTAACTTATCTCTAACTTAACTTTAACTTATCTCTAACATATCTATAACGTATCTCTAACTTATCTCTAACTATTGTATCTCTAACTTAAGTCTATCTTATCTCTAACATATCTCTAACTTAACTCTAACATATCTCTAACATATTTCTAACTTATCTCTAACTTAACTCTAATATATCTCTAACATAACGCTAACTCATCTCTAACTTAACTCTAACTATCTTATCTCTAACATAACTATCTTACCTCTAACATATCTCTAACGTATCTCTAACTTATCTCTAACATATCTCTTACATATCTCTAACATATCTCTAACATAACTCTAACTCATCTCTAACTTATCTGTAACATAACTCTAACTCATCTCTAACGTAACTCTATCTTATCTCTAACATAACTCTAACTTAACTCTTACTTATCTCTAACTTAACTCTAACTTATCTCTAAATTATCGCTAACTTAACTCTAACTTATCTCTAACTATTGTATCTCTAACATAAGTCTATCTTATCTCTAACATATCTCTAACTTATCTCTAACTCGTCTCTAACTTAACTCTAACTATCTTATCTCTAACTTAACTCTTACTTATCTCTAACTTAACTCTTACTTATCTCTAACTTAAATCTAACTTATCTCTAACTTAACTCTAACATATCTCTAACATATCGCTAACTTAACTCTAATATATTTCTAACTTATCTCTAACGTATCTCTAACTTAACTCTAATATATCTCTAACATAATTCTAACTCATTTCTAACTTAACTCTAACTATCGTATCTCTAACATAAGTCTATCTTATCTCTAACTTATCTCTTAACATAACTCTAACTCATCTCTAACTTAGCTCTAACTATCTTATCTCTAACTTAACTCTAACTGATCTCTAACTAATCTCTAACTTATCTATAACAACTCTAACATATCTCTAACTTATCTCTAACATATCTCTAACTTAACTCTAACTTATCTCTAACATATCTCTAACATAACTCTATCTTATCTCTAACATATCTCTAAATTATCTCTAACATAACTCTAACTCATCTCTAACTTAACTCTAACTTTCTTATCTCTAACATAACTCGAACTTAACTCTAACTTATCTCTAACTTAAATCTAACTTATCTCTAACTTATCTCTAGTTTAAATCTAACTTATCTCTAACGTAACTAACTTATGTCTATCATATCTCTAACGTATCTCTAACTTATCTCTAACTTAAATCTAACTTATCTCTAACTTAACTAACTTATCTCTATCATAATTCTAACTTATCTCTAACTCATCTCTAACATAACTAACATATCTCTAACTTATCTCTAACTTATCTCTAACTTATCTCTAACTTCCCTCTGGCCCTCAGAGCGGACAGACTGCATCTGGCTCTGACAGAGCTGTGTGTGACTTACAGTCTCTGCTCCGAAATCTTCGTCTCTGAGCACGTCCTGGTTCCAACTGAGTTCCTTCTGTCGCACCTCGAGAACCGCCTTTCTGAGTAAGACTGACACATCTGTATTTAACTGAAACATCTGCCGAAGTATTGACTGTTGTGACACAGAAATGTAATTATTAGAAATGAAAAACTTTTTTTTTACACAAAGCGACATCAGCGAAGGACCAGAGAGCCACATCATGTTGGCCTCTGTGGACCCAGTCTTTAGGCTCCGCCCATTCTTTAGGCTCCACCCCTTTGCTCAGCGGGCTGCGTTTGCAAAAAACTTTCCAAAAAGACACAGAATTCACAGATATGATCTGCTTAAGCCTAGCGTACATCGGACTGGCAACTGATTATATCCGTCGCATATGAGTTGCTGCCTTGCACACATCGACAATCTGACAAAAACAGGCAACTCCCAGTATCAGACCAGTCTGGGGAATAACAGCGCGTACATCGACAGCAACTGGCCTCAACTACAGTGTGTTTTCTGACATAAACTGTTGCGGGCTCGCAATACACGCAATACACACATGTTGTTGGAGCGGCGCATGGAGCGCGCACATCGGGTCATATCTCCGAAACTGAGGACAACTAGTTGCCGAAAAGTAGAACACGGGCAACTGACTGGAACTGGAGACCGACTGATCATCTCCAGTTGTAAGAGCGCTCACATCGACCGATTTCGGCGACTGATCATCTCCATCATCTCCTCTCAGTCGCCAAAAGCCGCCTTCAACTAGTTGTCTCCAGTTTCTCTGTCGATGTACGCTAGGTTAGGAGTCTGGTTTGAGAGTGAGTTTCTCTCCTCTTTCCTCTCTTTCCTCTCTCCCCTCCTTCCTCTCTCCTTCCTCTCTCCTTCCTCTCTCCTCTCTCACTTATTCTGACACATTCTGACTTAAACCAGATTCTCCGACGGGACAAAGCAAAATTATGTTGTTTTAAAGACAGAAAAATGGAAAAAGGAAACACGAGTTCTATAAATCAGACTAAATGTTTTTGTGTCGTTGGAGAATCTGGTTTGAACAGAATGTTTTAGACTAACTCTGATGTTCATGCCTGAACCCTGACCCTGGTTTATAAATGACAGAGGCCCCAGAGGCCCCAGAGGCCCCGGAGGCCCCAGGTCCAGTCTGGGGCTTCAACAGCAAATAGTGAAGGTCCAAACACTCCATATTTCCTCATACTTCTCTTGTCGTAGCGTGTTGTTGACACCCTGTTGGTAGCGTGTTTTTTTTAACATGTTGGTACCATGTTGTTGATACCGTGTTGGTAGTGTTTTTGATACTGTGTTGGTAGCATGTTCTTGATACCGTGTTGGTAGCATGTTGTTGATACCGTGTTGGTAGCATGTTGTTGATACCGTGTTGGTAGTGTTTTTGATACTGTGTTGGTAGCATGTTCTTGATACCGTGTTGGTAGCATGTTGTTGATAACGTGTTGGTAGCATGTTGTTGGTAGCATGTTGTTGATACTGTGTTGGAAGCATCTTGTTGATGCTGTGTTGGTAGCATGTTGTTGATAACATGTTGATAGGATGTTGTTGATAGCGTGTTGTTGATACCGTGTTGGAAGCATGTTGCTGATACCGTGTTGGTAGCGTGTTGTTGATACCATGTTGGTAGCGTGTTGTTGATACCATGTTGGTAGCGTGTTGTTGATACCGTGTTGGTAGCGTGTTGGTAGCGTGTTGTTGATACGTAATGGTAGCATGTTGCTGATACCATGTTATTGATACCGTGGTGTTTATACCGTGTTGGTGGTGTATTGTTGATACCATGTAGGCAGGGTGTTGATACCATGTTGGTGGTGTGTTGTTGATAACGTGTTGGTAGCATGTTGTTGGTAGCATGTTGTTGATACCGTGTGGAAGCATGTTGTTGATACCATGTTGATAGCATGTTGTTGATACCGTGTTGGTAGCGTGTTGTTGATACCGCGTTGGAAGCATGTTGTTGTTACTGTGTTGGTAGCGTGTTGTTGATACCATGTTGGTAGCTTGTTGTTGATACCGTGTTGGTAGCGTGTTGTTGATACCATGTTGGTAGCGTATTGTTGATACCGTGTTGGTAGCGTGTTGTTGATACGTGTTGGTAGCATGTTGGTCATACCATGTAGGCAGCGTGTTGATACCGTGTTGGTAGCAAGTTGTTGATACCGTGTTGGAAGCATGTTGTTGATACCATGTTATTGATAACGTGTTGGTAGCGTGTTGTTGATACTGTGTTGGTAGCGTGTTGTTGATACCATGTTGGTAGCGTGTTGTTGATACCATGTTGGTAGCGTGTTGTTGATACCGTGTTGGTAGCGTGTTGTTGATACTGTGTTGGTAGCGTGTTATTGATACCATGTTGGTGGCGTGTTGTTGATACCATGTTGGTAGCATATTGTTGATACCAATTTGGTAGCGTGTTGTTGATACCGTGTTAGTAGCGTGTTGTTGATACCATGTTGGTAGCGTGTTGTTGATACCATGTTGGCAGCGTGTTGTTAATACTGTGTTGGTAGCGTGTTGTTGATACCATGTTGGTAGCGTGTTGTTGATACCATGTTGGTAGCGTGTTGTTGATATGTGTTGGTAGCATATTGTTGATACTATGTTGGTAGCGTGTTGTTGATATGTGTTGGTAGCATATTGTTGATACTATGTTGGTAGCGTGTTGTTGATACCATGTTGGTAGCGTGTTGTTGATACCGTGTTGGTAGCATATTGTTGATACTATGTTGGTAGCGTGTTGTTGATACGTGTTGGTAGCATGTTGCTGATACCATGTTATTGATACCGTGGTGTTGATACCGTGTTGGTGGTGTATTGTTGATACCATGTGGGCAGGGTGTTGATACCATGTTGGTGGTGTGTTGTTGATAACGTGTTGGTAGCATGTTGTTGGTAGCATGTTGTTGATACCATGTTGATAGCATGTTGTTGATACCGTGTTGGTAGCGTATTGTTGATACCGCGTTGGAAGCATGTTGTTATTACTGTGTTGGTAGCGTGTTGTTGATACCATGTTGGTAGCTTGTTGTTGATACCGTGTTGGTAGCGTGTTGTTGATACGTGTTGGTAGCATGTTGTTGATACCATGTTGGTAGCGTATTGTTGATACCGTGTTGGTAGCGTGTTGTTGATACGTGTTGGTAGCATGTTGGTCATACCATGTAGGCAGCGTGTTGATACCGTGTTGGTAGCATGTTGTTGATACCGTGTTGGAAGCATGTTGTTGATACCATGTTATTGATAACGTGTTGGTAGCGTGTTGTTGATACCGTGTTGGTAGCGTGTTGTTGATACCATGTTGGTAGCGTGTTGTTGATACCATGTTGGTAGCGTGTTGTTGATACCGTGTTGGTAGCGTGTTGTTGATACTGTGTTGGTAGCGTGTTGTTGATACCATGTTGGTGGCGTGTTGTTGATACCATGTTGGTAGCGTGTTGTTGATATGTGTTGGTAGCATATTGTTGATACTATGTTGGTAGCGTGTTGTTGATACCGTGTTGGTAGCGTGTTGTTGATACCATGTTGGTAGCGTGTTGTTGATACTGTGTTGGTAGCGTGTTGTTGATACCATGTTGGTAGCGTGTTGTTGATATGTGTTGGTAGCATATTGTTGATACTATGTTGGTAGCGTGTTGTTGATACCGTGTTGGTAGCATATTGTTGATACCATGTTGGTAGCGTGTTGTTGATATGTGTTGGTAGCATATTGTTGATGCCATGTTGGTAGCGTGTTGTTGATATGTGTTGGTAGCATATTGTTGATACTATGTTGGTAGCGTGTTGTTGATACCGTGTTGGTAGCATATTGTTGATACCATGTTGGTAGCGTGTTGTTGATATGTGTTGGTAGCATATTGTTGATACCATGTTGGTAGCGTGTTGTTGATATGTGTTGGTAGCATATTGTTGATACTATGTTGGTAGCGTGTTGTTGATACCATGTTGGTAGCGTGTTGTTGATACCGTGTTGGTAGCATATTGTTGATACTATGTTGGTAGCGTGTTGTTGATACCGTGTTGGTAGCATATTGTTGATACTATGTTGGTAGCGTGTTGTTGATACCGTGTTGGTAGCATATTGTTGATACTATGTTGGTAGCGTGTTGTTGATACTATGTTGGTAGCGTGTTGTTGATACCATGTTGGTAGCGTGTTGTTGATACCGTGTTGGTAGCGTGTTGTTGATACCGTGTTGGTAGCTTGTTGTTGATACCGTGTTGGTAGCATGTTGTTGATACGTGACGCATGTTTCCTCAGAGTCATTGTGAAGATGGCGAGCTACAACCGGAGCACGCAGGAGGTGGCGCGGCCCTCGGAGCTGCTGGGGTCCCTCAGGGTCTACACCGCGGCTCTGCACAGTGTGAGCAGCTACATCAACATCGACGTCACTCGTTTGATTAAAAGTGTTTTACTGCAGCAGACGCAGCCCTTGGACTCACGCGGGGCCCAGACCATCACCACACTCTACACCAACTGGTATGTGTTCTTATGGTCTCACATTTACACATGCAAAAGCTTGGACCAGTAAGATTTACTCTGGAAGACCAGATTAGCCAATGACGGACCTCGAGGGTTTGAAAGGGTTTGGACAAATCAGCAGAAGACTCTCACACACATACACACACACACACACACACACACAAACGTACATACACAAAGATGCACACAGACACACACAAAAAACCACACACAAATGCACAAACACTCACATGACTGACTTCCATGAACCACATTTGTTGCCACAGACACATTTAGGTAAAAATCAGAATCTCCACAGATTAATAATTAATCTGATTGATATAATCTTCACAGATTAATCATAATTTGATTGATATAATCTACACAGATTATTAATAATCGGAATGATATAATCTCCACAGATTAATAATAATCTGAATGATAAAATATCCACAGATTAATAATAATATGAATGATATAATCTCCAGAGATTAATAATAATCGGAATGATATAATCTCCACAGGTTCCTGGAGAGTCTCCTGCGTCAGGCCAGTAACTCCTCCATCCTCCACTGTCCCACAATGCACTGCTTTGTAAACCAGAAAACAGACACTGAGCCCAGCGTCAGGGCAGACGAGTTCTCTGACATCACAGGTCAGAACACACCGCAACCACAACCACACACACATACACGTTTTTGTTACCTGGTGGGTCCCTTTGACAGGGCCGTTCAGAATGGGACCCATAGACATAATCTTTTTTACTGGGACTACTTTAAGTAATACAAAACAGTCAATAGAAAACAAACAACTCTTTTAAAGGAATTTTATTTTAGATTTTTTTGCATGTCCGATATTTAAAGTGGTTCTCCCCCCCGCTCCTCGGAGCTTACGTCACTCACATTTCCTGTTCAAATCTTCCTCTAAATGGGCGTAGCCTGGAGGACTGAAGGGGGCGTGAACGAGACTGGGCCGTTTATATACCTCTGGCCGGGGGGGCTGCTGACGTCAGGTCCAACTTCTGTGCCAGTGTTGGCGCCAGATTCAAAATTCAAATGTAGTAATACAGGTCGCCAGCAGATGGCGCCTCACAGACGGTTTTAGGCAGAAAGTTTAACTTTCAACTAATTTGCACCAAAGTGACAAAATTATGACCAGGATATGTAGACAACACTATATGGACATTCATTTAAATAAGATAAGAATTCCTTTATTCGTCCCACAGTGGGGAAATTTCGATGTTGCAGCGCACAGACAGGACAGTAGTAAGAGCACACAGGGATCACACACAATATATACACTATATACAAATAAGTAGTAGCTATGTTTCTTACATAACTAGCTGTAGATGCTGAAAATGCTTCAATACCAGTCAAAATATATATATGTAGTAGTGCAGTTATATACTGTACAGTTAAATAGTGCAGGATAAAAAGTATATAAGTAAAGTGACATGAGGTAAAGAGACATTGTTCTGTGACATTCTGAAGTTGCAGTATTGCACATTGCACATGATTTAAGAATGTACTTAATTACAGATGAATTAAATTTACAGGCTCAGCAGTTCTTATTGTACAGTCTGACAGCAGCAGGAAGGAAAGACCTACGGAACCTCTCCTTCACACAGCGTTTATACCGTTTATCAGCAAAAAATGTGGATTTGAGGGTGAGTTGTCCTTTAAGGTCATCTGGTGAGGCATTAATGCAGGCCAGGCAGTGAGACTTCCCAGGGACCTTTCCAGTCTGTATGAAAGGTGTCATGGTCTTCTCCACAGCCTTCACCTCAGATGCAGACCATGGCTTTCTTACACGTTCTAGGGAGAGAAATAAAAATATATTAGCAATATACACTCCCAGGGTTAGGACCAAGCAGCCTGGCTGTAATCCCCCACCTGGTACACTTACCAGAAGGGGCACTGCCACTACCATGGGGTGCATCTGGATGAATGGTTGAAGGTTCTCCGCTTGAAGTTTCTTTTAGCCCGTCCGTTTGTGAGAGGATCTCTACTGCTCTCCCTGTCGCACAGAAAATAAAAATACAAGTGGCCTTTAGGGGAAAATAATCATACATATTTTAATAATATCAAGAATTACCTTCAGGCTCAATTTGTATCTGGTCGAGGCTCTTTCCTTCGAATTCCGTCACTCTTCCCTGCTCCATGGCCATCAACACTTTGCTGATTTTGGCCAGCTCCAGTGTCCCCTCTGGTAGTCTGTAATATTGCCTGTGGATGCGAATGTCATGGCCGAGGAAGTTGGCAAGTATGTCCATCTCATTCTCTTTCATATTGAGAACTGTAGACATAGTAGCTATGTGCTTTCTAAGTTTGGTTGAGGATAGCATCTCTGGATGCACCGCACCACATTCTTTGGCTACCTGGCGTAGGGAGTCTGATCCCCTGATGTGGGTGTCTGCGCCCGGGCGGGAGAAGAAGTATGGGTTATGGTCAGAGATGGAACAGGCCCTTCTGTTCTCCACCAGCACCTCCATCAAAGCAATCATTTCAGGAGTCAAAAGAACCACCACTTTCCCACTTCTTTTCCCTTTAATTTCAATGCGTTGAAAATGCTGACACAGCTTTTTCTCAAGTTGGGACAGTCCCAGAGCAATGTCAGAATGGATCCCAGTCTTACTTCTTAAGGTAAAGGCTGTCAGTGGCATCTTTGAAACCTCACCTTCCCTTCTTCGATTGAAAATAATGACCTCACAAAGAGTCAAAACTGCCAGTTTAGACCAATGCTTAGACGTTGGCTCACTTATTAGGGTTTGCACATATTCAGGTCGACATACCTCAATATGTGCATGCATGGCTCTAACGTCCTCAGTCAGAGGGAGCAGGTCCGGAGTGTTCCACTTGGCTTGCCGGAGGGTCTGTAGGGCAGCAGAAGAAACACAGACGTCCCACCTCTTCTCAAAAAGCAGCCGGCTTCGTTGGAGGTTTTTAATAAATAGTTCATCAACACAATGCTCCATTTTTGAGTCACATTCAAGAATATCTGCTAGCTTTCTGAGGCTATGGCCGAGTTTGAGGGCCAAGGATGGAGTCTTGTATTGATTTGTTTCCTCATCATATCCAGCCACAGACCTGACTGCATCAATCACATGGTTAAAGTTGGAAGGAATAAAGAAATCCTTCATTGTTTTCAGTTTCCCTGCGGTTTTTGCTTCGTTAATTAACCTACCGACTTCTCTCATTTTCTGCCTAATGTAATCATGCTTAGTCTTATCATGCCCGTGTTTTAAGTACAGGTGCTCTCCGAGTCTCAGAATCCCTTTTTCTGCTTTGACAACACCCGTGACCTCATCCTGATGCATTGCCCAAATTAAAGACCACAGCTTTTTGCTGATGCCCTCCGGTACAGGCTGGGCTAGGGAGCAGAGGGACTGGACCCTACTTCTACCTGGTTTAGCCTGGTTTAGCCTGGGCATCTTTCTTCGTCACTTTCCGAGTCTTGAAGAAAAGTGTTTTTGATTTTTCTTTTTCCATACTTTTTTACAGGTTTCTTCTTGACAGTTAAATCGTCAGAATCTGAGTCGACTTCATCAATTAGGGACTCTTGACTAAGCTGCACAAACAACAAATAATTTGTAATAATTGTATATAACAATTTGAAGTCATGACTTGTAGTCAGCACTTACCAGTGGTTTGTAAGCGTGCGCTTCAGTGTGCTGCTCTGTGATTGGCTGCAGCCTAATGAACCACACACTTGCACCTTTTCTAGCCTGACACCTGATTTCCTCTGTTGTGCTGCTCCATGATTGGCTCCAGCCTCTGTTGTGCTGCTCCATGATTGGCTCCAGCCTCTGTTGTGCTGCTCCATGATTGGCTCCAGCCTCTGTTGTGCTGCTCCATGATTGGCTCCAGCCTGCTGGACTGAAATTGCCCCAGTGTGCCCCTCCTTGATATCCCGCAACCCACCACCAGGGTTCCGACACATAACACACTTTTTTCAGGAAAGTAAACCTCCAGGGGTCCTTTCCATATTTTTACAGAGACTGCATAAGGACCGTTAGAAAAGCATTACCCATTGATTATTAAGCTTGGACCAGTGGGGTCCGGTGTTCGGGCCCCACCACGTAAAACCAGTCCCCATGACGTGAGTGGAATCTCAGGTTATGGACCCCACCAGGAGTTGAAAACAAGTGCACACACACACACACACACATATAAGCTGTATACTTGTATTACAGAGTTGCGGGCCCTCTCTGAGCTGCTGGGTTCTTATGGAGTGAAGTTCCTGAGTGAGAACCTGATGTGGCACATCACCTCCCAGATCAACGAGATCAAGGTCAGTCTCTGCACTCTCTAACTATCAGAACCATCAGAACCATCAGAACCATCAGAACTATCTTTAATAAATCACATAGTGATAAACATATATAATATAAAAATATAACTTATAATTATATTTACTGTATATCGATGTTTCTCAGACTCTTCGTCGTTTATTGTCTGATTCTTTCAGAAACTTGTGATTGAAAACATGGACGTCCTGGTTCAGATCAGGAACAGCTCTGACAAAACTGAAGAGACCACAGAGCTGAAGAAGAGGCTGACAGGTGAGGAAGAGGAGGAGGGGGAGGAGGAAGGGAAGAGGAAGAGGAGGAGGAAAAAGAGGAGGAGGGGGAGGAAGAGGAGGATGAGGAGGGGGGAGGAAGAGGAGGCATCTACAGTCTGTAAGACTCTGACTCTGTTACAGGAGGAGAAAACATGTTGAAGAGAATGACCATCATCGGAGTCATTCTGTCGTTTAGATCCATGACCTCAGACTGTCTCAGGGACGTACGTGTTTATATATATACTACACATATATATGTATATATATAGTACATACACAGTATCAGTACATACTGACACTGATACTGTGACTTTAAACAGACCCTGGAGAAACACTGCCCGTACCTCATGAGGCCCATAGAGAACCTGAGGTCCTCCCTCAGCCCTGAGGCCAACACCAAGGTACAGCTGCTCCTGCTCCTCATATCAGAGAGAACATCAGTCCCTGTGGGCAGTCCCTGTGGGCAGTCCCTGTGGGCAGTCCCTGTGGGCAGTCCCTGTCCAATCCCTCTCCTCCCCCCCTCTCCCTCCCCTGTGGGCAGTCCCTGTCCAGTCCCTCTCCTCCCCCCTCTCCCTCCTCTCCCCCCTCCCCCCTCTCCCCCTGAGTTCTGTGGGTAAATAGCCTCAGACGTCACAGTCGCTGATTCCTCAGTGAAAGACATCAGTGGAAACACACACATGACACACATGACGCCAAATACACACAAACACACACACACAGACACACACACACACTTCACTGAACACTTTCTAAAATTAGCTCCAGAACATTTCACTGAAACAAACTCCTGCTGCTCTCCTGCAACAACACTCTCTCTCTCCCTCTCTCACCTCTCTCCCCCTCTCCCCCCCTCTCTCACCTCTCTCCCCTTCTCTCCCCCTCTCTCACCTCTCTCCCCCTCTCCCCCCCTCTCTCACCTCTCTCCCCCTCTCCCCCCCTCTCTCACCTCTCTCCCCTTCTCCCCCCCTCTCTCACCTCTCTCCCCTTCTCTCCCCCTCCCTCACCTCTCTCTCCCTCTCCCCCCCTCTCTCACCTCTCTCCCCTTCTCTCCCCCTCTCTCACCTCTCTCCCCCTCTCCCCCCCTCTCTCACCTCTCTCCCCTTCTCTCCCCCATCTCTCACCTCTCTCCCCCTCTCCCCCCCTTTCTCACCTCTCTCCCCTTCTCTCCCCCTCTCTCACCTCTCTCTCCCTCTCCCCCCCTCCTCTCACCTCTCTCTCCCTCTCCCCCCCTCTCTCACCTCTCTCCCCCTCTCCCCCCCTCTCTCACCTCTCTCTCCCTCCCCCCCCCTCTCTCACCTCTCTCCCCCTCTCCCCCCCTCTCTCACCTCTCTCTCCCTCTCCCCCCCCTCTCTCACCTCTCTCTCCCTCTCCCCCCCTCTCTCACCTCTCTCCCCCTCTCCCCCCCTCTCTCACCTCTCTCCCCCTCTCCCCCCCTCTCTCACCTCTCTCCCCCTCTCTGCAGGTGACCCTGAGTGTGTATGAACTGGCGTCAGCTGCAGGCCTGTCATGTGACATAGATCCTGCTCTGGTGGCGGCCATCAGCGGCATGATGACAGGTGACATCACTCACACTGATGATGACATCACTCACACTGATGATGACATCACTCATACTGATGATGACATCACTCACACTGATGATGACATCACTCATACTGATGATGACATCACTCACACTGATGATAACAGGTGACATCACTCACACTGATGATGACATCACTCACACTGATGATAACAGGTGACATCACTCACCCTCACACTTCCTGTTGATTATTATTGATTCATTATTGTTTGATTTTCTTTCTTATTGTGTTCAGTCATTAAAACTCCACATCAACGAAAACTATTTTGTTTCCAACACGTGACGACAGCTTTTTACTTTCTCCTGACCCTGTTCCCAACAGAGACAGTCACATGACCTTTGTTTACGTTACAGCACATGTTACATGTTACAGCACATGTTACATGTTACATCACATGTTACAGCACATGTTACATGTTACAGCACATGTTACATGTTACATCACATGTTACAGCACATGTTACATGTTACAGCACATGTTACAGCACATGTTACATGTTACATCACATGTTACAGCACATGTTACATCACATGTTACAGCACATGTTACATGTTACAGCACATGTTACAGCACATGTTACATGTTACATCACATGTTACAGCACATGTTACATCACATGTTACAGCACATGTTACATGTTACAGCACATGTTACATCACATGTTACAGCCCATGTTACAGCACATGTTACAGCACATGTTACATGTTATAGCACATGTTACAGCACATGATACAGCACATGTTACATGTTATAGCACATGTTACAGCACATGATACAGCACATGTTACAGCACATGTTACAGCACATGTTACATGTTACAGCACATGTTACATCACATGTTACAGCACATGTTACAGCACATGTTACAGCACATGTTACATGTTATAGCACATGTTACATCACATGTTACAGCACATGTTACAGCACATGTTACAGCACATGTTACATGTTACAGCACATGTTACAGCACATGTTACAGCACATGTTACATGTTATAGCACATGTTACAGCACATGATACAGCACATGTTACAGCACATGTTACATCACATGTTACATCACATGTTACAGCACATGTTACATGTTACAGCACATGTTACATCACATGTTACAGCACATGTTACATGTTACTGTCCGTGAACTTTATCAACATTGTAGCAAAGACTTGATATTTCTCATTTTTATTGAATGTATTTATTTATTTACTTAAAGTTGTTTCTTGGGTTTCCGTCTGGTTAGCGTTAGCCTAACCTTAACCCTTCTGGTTAGCGTTAGGCTAACTTTAACCCTTCTGGTTAGCGTTAGCCTAACCCTAACCCTTCTGGTTAACGTTAGGCTAACCCTAGTGTAAAGGAGGAAACACAACTTGTGTCATAGTCTAACAATCTGTCACTCTGACTGTATCTCCTCGAGCTTTTCCCATTGACTTGAATGTGCTCCGCAGACAGCACGTCTGTGGATGAAGAGTATAAAGTGTCCTGTTTGCTCCTGGTCTACATTGCGGTGTCGCTGCCTCTGCTGACCCTTGACCCCAACTCCTGCTACACTCGGGAACATGGAGGTACCTTCGAGCTGCGTCTCTCTTTCATGATTCCCCAAATGTCACTCGTTCCGTTCCACGCTCTGGGCCTCAGCTGCTCGGACCTCAGCCTCTGGGCCTCAGCTGCTCTGGGCCTCAGCTGCTCTGGGCCTCAGCTGCTCTGGGCCTCAGCTGCTCTGGGCCTCAGCTGCTCTGGGCCTCAGCCTCTGGGCCTCAGCTGCTCTGGGCCTCAGCTGCTCTGGGCCTCAGCCTCTGGGCCTCAGCCTCTTGGCCCTCTGCACGTTAGGGTTAATCAGATTCTTGTTAATCAGAATCCGGGTCCAGAGAGATGTCGTTTAGAGATAAGTCTGACGTGGATCCTGCTCCTTCATGGTCCCTTCATGGTTCAGATCTGACGGTGATTGTTCTCTTTAACTTTTCCACTTGTTTCTAAATCAGCAACAAAGCTTTGGAGAGGTCCTGGGGGAGTTTGTTAATGACATGAAAACCTCCTCCTGTGGATACTTCCACAAACACCATCGTTACTTAGTTACTGTCAAGACACAAACGTCACATGTTTCTCTTCCTCAGGTCACAACAACAACATCCACTGTTTATCCGCCGCCATCAGCGGACTGGCGGGCGCCATGTTCACGGTCCAGAACAAAGATGTGGAGCAGCACCTCCAAGACTTCCTCCTGGTGAGAAGCGTCTCCTCAAACCAATGTTTAAAGTTGACATCCGTAACTTACATCCTACTGAAGCATGTTGTCTGACCGTGGGACATTGTGCAGAGTTAGATTCAAACAGAACCACCTTAAATATAAACCACCTTAAATATAAAGTATTCTACCAATGACAACGCTTAAACAAATGATAAGGAGCCTTATGAATTTGAATTAATATCATCCAATCAGAAGTCAGCGGGGGTCAGTAGCGTGTCTTCTGCAAGTTTTACTCACTTCCTGACCTCTGACCCTCCTGACTCTGACCTCTGACCCTCCTGACCTCTGACCCCCTGACTCTGACCTCTGACGCTGACCTCTGACCTTGTGTGTGTCTGCAGCTGGCCTCCTCAACTCTGCTGCAGCTCGGACAGAACGTGGAGCGGGTGGACACCAGGAACCGAGAGTCCATTTACCTTCTGCTCCACATGGTACATCTGTTACTTACTGCTCCACATGGTACATCTGTGACTTACTGTCACACATGGTACATCTATTACTTCCTAACTACACCATGAATCATAACTAATGAAACTAATCAATGATTGAAACAGTTGATCAGTGATCAATTAATCATTTGTTAACTGTAATTGATGATCAAACACCCCTTGGTCCGAGCATTTGAACATGTACCATGAAGAACCATGAAGAACCATGAAGGACCATGAAGGACCATGAAGGACCATGAAGGACCATGAAGGACCCTGAAGGACTATGAAGGACCATGAAGGACCATGAAAGACCATGAATGACCATGAGTGACCATGAATGACCATGAATAACCATGAAGGGCCTTGAAAGACCATGAAGGATAATGAAGGACCATGAAGAATCAGGTCCAGCAGGACATTTGGATTTACACAATGTTTAACCCAAAATCCAAAATAATCCATTAACAGAAACGTGAAACTTAATGTGAGAAAGTCTGAAATAATGACATACGTCTAACGACAAGACCTGGTACCATGTGGGAGGCAGTACCATGTAGGATGTAGTACCATGTAGGATGCAGTACCATGTGCGATGCTGTACCATGTAAGAGGCAGTACAAAGTAGGATAAAGTACCATGTAGGATGCAGTACCTTGTAGGATGCAGTACCATGTAGGAGGCAGTACCTTGTAGGATGCAGTACCATGTAGGAGGCAGTACCATGTAGGATGCAGTACCATATAGGAGGCAGTACCAACTGGATAAAGTACCATGTAGGATGCAGTACCTTGTAGGATGCAGTACCATGTAGGAGGTAGTACCATGTAGGATGCAGGACCATATAGGATGCAGTACCACGTGCCATGCAGTACCATATAGGAGGCAGTACCAAGTAGGATATAACATACCATGTAGGATGCAGTACCATGTGGGGTGCAGTACCATGTAGGATGTAGAACCATGTAAGATAAAGTACCATGTGGGATGTAGTACCATGTAGGATGCAGTACCATGTAGGAGGCAGTACCAAGTAGGATTCAGTATCATGTGCGATGCAGTACCTTGTAGGATGCAGTGCCAAGTAGGATAAAGTACCATGTAGGACGCAGTACCATGTAGGATTCAGTACCATGTGGGATGTAGTACCATGTAGGATGCAGTACCATGTAGGAGGCAGTACCAAGTAGGATTCAGTATCATGTGCGATGCAGTACCTTGTAGGATGCAGTTCCAAGTAGGATATAACATACCATGTAGGATGCAGTACCATGTAGGATTCAGTACCATGTGGGGTTCAGTACCATGTAGGATTTAGAACCATGAAAGATAAAGTACCATGTGGGATGCAGTACCATGTAGGATGCAGTGCCATGTGGAATGCAGTACCATGTAGGAGGCAGTACCAAGTAGGATTCAGTATCATGTGCGATGCAGTACCTTGTAGGATGCAGTGCCAAGTAGGATAAAGTACCATGTAGGACGTAGTACCATGTAGGATTCAGTACCATGTGGGATCTAGTACCATGTAGGATGCAGTACCATGTATGAGGCAGTACCAAGTAGGATTCAGTATCATGTGGGATGCAGTACCATATATAATTCAGTACCATGTGGGATGCATTACCAAGTAGGATTCAGTACCATGTGGGATGCAGTACCATGTATAATTCAGTACCATGTGGGATGCATTACCATGTGGGATGCAGTACCATGTGCGATGCAGTACCATATAGGATGCAGTACCATGTAGGATACAGTACCATGTGGGATGCACTACCATGTAGGATGCAGTACCATATAGGATACAGTACCATGTAGGAGGCAGTACCATATAGGATGCAGTACCATGTGCCATGCAGTACCATATAGGAGGCAGTACCAAGTAGGATATAACTTACCATGTAGGATTCAGTATCATGTGCGATGCTGTACCTTGTAGGATGCAGTACCATGTAGGAGGCAGTACCAAGTAGGATAAAGTACCAAGTAGGAATCAGTACCATGTGGGATGCATTACCATGTGCGATGCAGTACCATGTAGAATGTAGTACCATGTGCGATGCAGTACCATGTAGGATGCACTACCATTTATGAATTCGGTGGTAATAATGTTGTGTCTTGTGAGTAATGTTGTGTTGTAACATGCAGCCCGCGGAAATTCAATTTAGAAGACGTCAGCCAAAAGCTACCCCCTCCGGGCCGACTCGCATCCCCAGCCTATCGCACAGCAAACGCCCCCTTCCAATCACACCGTGCCGGACAGGCCAGCCGCTTAAAAGCGGAGAAACTCCCACTTACGGCCTCCCGAAGCCTCGCAACCACCGCCTCCCCTCCTCCTCCTCTTCACCCTGCCTCCAATCTGCCTCCAAATCTGCTTCACGCTGCCAAAATGCCGCCACCAGTGCCTAGGCCCCGGGGGGATTCTACGCGCTCCAGCGCACGAGCCTCTCCGAACTGAAGGCCGCACCGGGGCCTAGGGCGCCAAACCACCTCTCATTAAAATACTCAAAAGCATTCTTGTTTTCACGTCTCTCCAAATTGAAATATGGTGTTGTAACAGATTGTGTTGTGTGTAGTGTTGTGTTGTAACATATGTGTGTCTCACAGATTGTGGAAGACTGTCCCTTCTTGAGCCAAGACTCGCTGGAGAAATGTTTTCCGTACGTTCTCCTGAGGAACAGCTACAGAGAAGTCTTCAGGCCCTTCGTCGTGACTCTGGGATGATCTACTGACCTGGATCTACTGACCTGGATCTACTGACCTGGGACCTACGGACCTGGGACCTTCTGACCTGGGACCTACTGACCTGGGACCTACTGACCTGGGACCTACTGATCTGGGACCTTCTGACCTGGGACCTTCTGACCTGGGACCTACTGACCTGGGACCTTCTGACCTGGGACCTTCTGACCTGGGATCTACTGACCTGGGACCTACTGACCTGGGACCTACTGACCTGGGACCTACTGACCTGGGATCTACTGACCTGGGACCTACTGACCTGGGACCTACTGACCTGGGACCTACTGACCTGGGATCTACTGACCTGGGACCTACTGACCTGGGACCTACTGACCTGGGACCTACTGACCTGGGACCTTCTGACCTGGGATCTACTGACCTGGGACCTTCTGACCTGGGATCTACTGACCTGGGACCTTCTGACCTGGGATCTACTGACCTGGGACCTTCTGACCTGGGACCTACTGACCTGGGACCTACTGACCTGGGACCTACTGAACTGGGACCTACTGATCTGGGACCTTCTGATCTGGGACCTTCTGACCTGGGACCTTCTGACCTGGGACCTACTGACCTGGGACCTACTGACCTGGGACCTTCTGACCTGGGACCTACTGACCTGGGACCTTCTGACCTGGGACCTACGGACCTGGGACCCACTGACCTGGGACCTACTGACCTGGGACCTACTGACCTGGGACCTTCTGACCTGGGACCTTCTGACCTGGGACCTACTGACCTGGGACCTTCTGACCTGGGACCTACTGACCTGGGACCTACTGACCTGGGACCTACTGACCTGGGACCTACGGACCTGGGACCCACTGACCTGGGACCTACTGACCTGGGTCCTACTGACCGGCGACCTTCTGACCTGGGACCTACGGACCTGGGACCCACTGACCTGGGACCTACTGATCTGGGACCTTCTGACCTGGGACCTTCTGACCTGGGACCTACTGATCTGGGACCTTCTGACCTGGGACCTACTGACCTGGGACCTTCTGACCTGGGACCTACGGATCTGGGACCCACTGACCTGGGACCTACGGATCTGGGACCTACTGACCTGGGACCTACTGACCTGGGACCTTCTGACCTGGGATCTACTGACCTGGGACCTACTGACCTGGGACCTTCTGACCTGGGACCTACTGACCTGGGACCTTCTGACCTGGGACCTACGGACCTGGGACCCACTGACCTGGGACCTACGGACCTGGGACCTACTGACCTGGGACCTACTGACCTGGGACCTTCTGACCTGGGACCTGTGACTCAAACATAGTCTTGCTGTAACCATAAACACAGACCAGTGGATTAAATACAGATTCTGAAACATGTGTTTTCTCTTCATTTGCATCAATCAGTGTCAGTCCTCTGTTAGTCCTGTGTCTGTGTCAGTCCTCTGTCAGTCCTGTGTCTGTGTCAGTCCTCTGTCAGTCCTGTGTCTGTGTCAGTCCTGTGTCTGTGTCAGTGTCAGTCCTGTGTCTGTGTCAGTGTCAGTCCTGTGTCTGTGTCAGTCCTGTGTCTGTGTCAGTCCTCTGTCAGTCCTGTGTCTGTGTCAGTCCTGTGTCTGTGTCAGTCCTCTGTCAGTCCTGTGTCTGTGTCAGTCCTCTGTCAGTCGCTGAAGCTTTGTTCCTGATATGATCTGGAGTCAGTTACTACACAAGAGACATGCAGAGGGGACTGTGAGGACAGAGGGGACTGGATCCCACTGAAACACAAGGAAACCATCACACACACACACACACACTCCACACACACAAACACACACACCACACACACACACACACGAACACACACACACACATACACAGACACACACACACACACAAACACACACACACACACCACACACACACACAGAGACACACACACATACACAGACCTGCAGCACACACACACACACACAAACACACACACAGACCTGCAGCACAGACACAAACACTCACACACACACACACACAGACCTGCAGCACACACCGACACACACAGACACACACACAGACACACACACACACAGAGACACTCACTTGGACTTGTACAAGTGAAATTAAACACAGCTCTCTGAAGCAGGTGATATGAGTGTGTGTGTGTGTGTGTGCTGCAGGTCTGTGTGTGTGTTTCTGTGTGTGGGTGAGTGTCTGTGTGTGCTGCAGGTCTGTGTGTGTCTGTGTGTGTTTTCTGTGTGTGTGTGTGTGTGGTGTGAGTGCATGTGTGTGTGTGTGTGTGTATGTGTGTGTGTTTGTGTGTGTGTGTGTGTGTGTAGGTGTGTGTGTGTTTGTGTGTGTGTCTGTGTATGTGTGTGTGTGTGTGTGTGGTGTGTGTGTGTATGTGTGTGTATGTGTGTGTGTATGGTGTGTGTATGTATGTGTGTGTGGTGTGTGTATGTATGTGTGTGTGGTTTGTGTGAGTATGTGTGTGTCTGTGTGTGTGTGTGCTGCTGCAGGAAAGCCCAGTGGCTCCTCTCTGAGGTGTGTCCTGGTGGAAAGTGTGTGTTTGATACGAAGCTCTCTGATGATTGTGTTGTGACGCACTCCTCCACTGTGATTGGTCGAATAGGCTCCACAGAATGGCACTCCTCCGCTGTGATTGGTCAAACATGCTCCACAGAATGACACCGATAAATGTTAAGGCTGGTGTTATTGTGGGAAATAAACAAAGAGACAAGTTATTATCCTGGTTTTAGACATGGAGGCTGTGGCTGAGGACTCACAGAGGACAGAAGGGGGCAGACGGGGGGGGCTGGAGGGGGTCCTGACAGAGGGGGGCCGAGGGGGGGGGCTGGAGGGGGTCCTGACAGAGAGGGGCCAAGGGGGAGCCCTGGAGGGGGTCCTGACCCCCATGTTCAGCATACACACTGTGTGTGACGGATGGCTGGGGCGCCACACCTGTAAGACCACACAGGACAGGTACGTGCTCATGACCGGACCCCACAGGACTGGACCCAACAGGATAGGACCCCACAGGACAGGACCCCACAGCACTGAACCCCACAGGACTGGACCCCACAGGACAGGACCCCACAGCACTGAACCCCACAGGACTGGACCCCACAGGACAGGACCCCACAGCACTGAACCCCACAGGACTGGACCCCACAGGACCCCACTGGACAGGACCCCACAAGACAGGACCCCACAGGACAGGACCCCACAGGACCGGACTCCATGGGACTGGACCCCACAGGATAGGACCCCACAGGACAGGACCCCACAGGACCGGACCCCACTGGACAGGCCCGGACCCCACTGGACAGGCCCGGACCCCACAGGACAGGACCCCACAGAACCGTACCCCATAGGACAGGACCCCACAAAACCGGACCCCACAGAACCGGACCCCATAGGACAGGACCCCACAGAACCGGACCCCAAAGAACCGGACCCCACAGGACCCCACAGGACTGGTACATGCCCAAGAGGTAGTGCTGGGTGTGTTTTTTGTGCCACACCAGCGACACCAGTGACACCAGCAACACCAGCAACGCCAGTGACACAGACACCAGTGACACCAGCAACACCAGCAACACCAGTGACACCAGCAACACCAGTGACACCAGCAACACCAGCGACACCAGTGACACCAGTGACACTAGGGATGCCAGCGACACAAGCGACACCAGTGACACCAGCAACAACAGCAACACCAGCAACAACAGCAACACCAGCGACAACAGCAACACCAGCGACACCCGCAACACCAGTGACACCAGCAACGCCAGTGACACAGACACCAGTGACACCAGTAACACCAGCAACACCAGCAACACAAGCGACACCAGGGACACCAGCAACACCAGTGGCACCAGTGACACCCGCAACACCAGTGACAACAGCGACACCAGTGAGACCAGTACAGATTGCAGAATTGGGGCAGTTTTATTTATGGCTCTTTGATGAAACGCTGTCATGAAAAGCAGCCGGTTGTGATGTCACAGAGCGTGGGAGCCGCAGGGTCAGAGCGACGGGGTTTTTCCGACTCACGCAACAGAGATTTAGAAAAGCAGCCGTTTGTCACAGTTCAAACTTCATGTTTTTTATCTTAATACATATTTTCTGGAATGTTACCGTCTGAAAGATAAACATGAGAGTACTGCTCCTGCTGAGACGTTGTTGGCATGACGACAGAACCCTTTCCAAAACATCCCAAACCCTTGGAGTGTGGTTCCCCAGGGAACGGTTTTTGGCTCGACTGACTTACTTTCTATAAATATTAAGCTGTTCAATGTAGATTTTGCTAAATTATTGATGCTAGAGTTAGAGATTTTATTTTAATCAGTATAGCTATGGTTCACTTAACGTGTGCCGTGTGCTCCTCTTTCTATAACTTGGGATGCAACACCAACATTTCCCCACTGTGGGACAAATAAAAGATCTCTCTTAAATATTTGGGTTATAGCAGTTTCCATTTCATTCATTTTATTTGTGTATCGTCCTAAATCACAACAGTAGTTTCTCTGAGGACTTTACAAAGCTGTCGATTTTCTCCAGCACAGATCAGAGAATCAGACCGTTCATCAGGAGCAGGTGGAGCGTCCTCTGCATCAGAACAACTCTAACCCAGAGGGAGAAAGAACCATCAACACCAGCAACACCAGAGACACAGAGACATCAGGACACAGAGACATCAGGACACAGAGACATCTGGACACAGAGACATCAGGACACAGAGACATCTGGACATAGAGACATCAGGACACAGAGACATCAGGACACAGAGACATCAGGACACAGAGACATCAGGACACAGAGACATCAGGACACAGAGACATCAGGACACAGAGCGTCCTCTGCATCAGAACAACTCTAACCCTGAGGGAGAAGGAGAGGAACCTCGGGCCCACAGAGGGCGGGGCTAAAGCAGTCCCCAAAGTCCAATAAGTTCAGACCAAAGTGGTTTCACCAGGATGGATCTTCAGACGGATTCATAATGAAGTATCATTTGGATAAAAATAGTTAAAGATTACTAACTTTAAACCCACGACATTGAAGAAAATCAGAGAAAACTAGTTCACAACTTTAAGATCACGCTTCTTACACAAAAGAGAAACTCTAAACTCTCAGAGTGTTAGACTTCTGCAAAACAAAAAAGGTTTTTTAATGAAGATGAAGATCCTTTACTGATCCCACAGGGAAATGTCAGTGTTGCAGAACGGTAGAATGAGGAGCACAAGAGAAAAGAACAATTACTCTACAAAATAAGGTTAAATCTCTAACTTTATCATCATAAAGAAGAAAGTCTAACATCTCTAACCTAAACATCATACAGAAGTGTGTTATTTATTATCATACAAAAGTGTGTTATTTATCATACAGAAGTGTGTTATTTATTATCATACAGAAGTGTGTTAATTACATAGACTGTATATATTAACGGACAGAGTCATACCTATCTCCGCCGTTTTAACTAATGGGCCAAAAAATGTGCTCTACTGGAGCTATCCAAAATGGCTGCGAGTGGTCCCGGCCACAAGAAAATTGTGAAAAAACGCATCTGCGCATGCGTCAGCCGGCGAAAGCTCCATTCATTTGAACGAGTGACTTCAAAAATTCACAGCAAGTAAACTAGAGTGGACCAAAAAAATCCACCCCCCTCAGCATTGACACACATGTGGAACGGAGCTTTGGGCAAAGAGCCAACTTTTGGACCATCCTGTAAAGACGTTTTTGAGAGGTCTGCTAATGCTATATGTTAGCATTGGCTAATTCTTCTTCTGGGTCCACCCCCATCGGCCCGGGGTGGTATTGCAGCATGTCAGCGCACGTCATTTTGGACACTTTTTAGCCGGGACCCGCCCACACTGGTTATTTATCATCATACAGAAGTGTGTTATTTATTATCATACAGAAGTGTGTTAATTATTATCATACAGAAGTGTGTTATTTATTATCATACAGAAGTGTGTTATTTATCATCATATTTATCATACAGAAGTGTGTTATTTATCATCATACAGAAGTGTGTTATTATCATACAGAGGTGTGTTATTATCATACAGAAGTGTGTTATTTATCATCATACAGAAGTGTGTTATTATCATACAGAGGTGTGTTATTATCATACAGAAGTGTGTTATTTATCATCATACAGAGGTGTGTTATTATCATACAGAAGTGTGTTATTTATCATCATACAGAGGTGTGTTATTATCATACAGAAGTGTGTTATTTACCATCATACAGAGGTGTGTTATCATACAGAAGTGTGTTATTATCATCATACAGAAATGTGTTATTATCATACAGAAGTGTGTTATTATCATACAGAAGTGTGTTATTATCATACAGAAGTGTGTTATTATCATCATACAGAAGTGTGTTATCATCATACAGAAGTGTGTTATTATCATCATACAGAAGTGTGTTATCATCATACAGAAGTGTGTTATTATCATCATACAGAAGTGTGTTATCATCATACAGAAGTGTGTTATTATCATCATACAGAAGTAAGTAAGTAAGTAAGTAAGTTTTTATTTATATACCGCCTTTTCACTGCAGATCTGAGTCTCAAAGCGGTTTACAATTGTTAATTTTGGGCATTTGTCTGTCACTCCACACAGAGATGGGAGCGGGGCCAGTACAGGAGGCACATGCCAGAACTATTGGACATATTTTTAGTGGTAGGGGAAACCGGAGTACCCGGAGGAAACCTACGCAGACACGGGGAGAACATGCAAACTCCACTCAGAAAGGCCCTGGTCCGACCGGGATTCGAACCCAGGACCTTCTTGCTGAGAGGCGAGAGTGCTATCCACTCAGCCACCGTGCCGCCCGGAAGTGTGTTATCATCATACAGAAGTGTGTTATTATCATCATACAGAAGTGTGTTATCATCATGGAGCTTTCGCGAAAGTTCACTGTGGTAGACCCGGCTGCTGCTTGCCCAGATCTACAAGCCTGCTCATCCTCGACTCATCATACCAGCAACGCCCACATCTAATCAACCAATAACCACCAGGACAGCAAGTTAAAAGCCGGAGATGCCCACTTCCCGGCCTTCTGAAGTCTGCAAGCCTCTGAAGTCTGCAAGGTGCATGTCGCTAACGCACCTGTTCGCAAATACATGCGTTGTTCTGGAGGGGTCGCTTTCTGCTCACGTGTTGCTCGTGCGCGTGGCCCGGCTGTCCTCAGTCTGGCTGCTCGGGGTCTGCTCCTCCTTCGCGTCCCTGCACCTGCTGTGGTTCGCGTGTCTCCACTGCTCTCCTCCTCTGCGGGCTCTTTCTGCGGGCTGCTCCGCGGGGCCCCTCCTCGTGGTCTGTGCTGCTCGTTCCTCGTGGTCTGCTGCCGCGCGCAGACGGTCTGGCGGTGCCGTGCGTGTCCCTGCCTCCGATTGGCGGTGCCGCGTTGTCCCGTTGCTTTTCCCACGTCTTCTGGCATATGCGGTGGTGAGTTGCTGACCTGCGGACGGATTATTCCCGGAGTCTGGGCTGCAGGCGGCTGGTTTTTGCCCTACGCACTGGACTGCAGGCGTCAGTTTTCGCCCCGTGCTTGGTCTGCAGGCTCCGTTTTCACACGTGTTTGAGCTAACTGAGGGGCAATGCATATTAAATGGCATCAATCTTTATTGTCTGAGGGATATAAGAGGAGCAATGTGCATTAATTCAGATTCATGTTCTGCCACTTGCAGTAAAACCACATTGGAAAAAATTGCAAAGACTACCCCATCGTGCTCCAGACGGCACGCACCAGAGCTCTTGCCACGGCGCCATCTTTACAGCATTAATCTCATTACTCGCAGGTCACTATTGTTAAATGGATGTATTTAAATTAGTCTATCTGAGGGATAAAGGAGGGGCCATGCATTAAAGTAGTACTAGAATTTAAGTTGCTGCTATCCAGAATATATAACTACTATATGTGTTTGTAATATTTCGGGTGTTCATTTTGACATGTTCAGATGAATTCTGTTAAAAAAACGGCTTCCAAGTTGCACTTTTTCACTTCCGCATTGAAACGCTAGGGGGGGCCAAAATGGCGGCGATGACGTATGAGAAGGGGATCTCACAGCCGTCATGACTGGAATTTGTAGTAACAGCGAGTTAATTGATGTTGAATTTGGGGAAGACTCGGAGGTTTCACTGTCATCTGATCAAGGTATAAACATATTTTCATCAGTTTTGTACATAATAGTGTGCAACTCTTTTAACCTTTTAGCCTTATTTGTGAGATTCAAGCTAATAACTTGGCCTAATGGTCCCTAGTATTAGGCAAGTTAGCTAACTCTACTTGATATCATAAAACATGCTAACAAGGCTAATATTCGTTTTCAATCAATCAATCAAAGTTTATTTGTAGAGCGCCTTTCATGCACAGGGCAACACAAAGCGCTTCACAGTCCACATCACAAATCATCACATAAAACAAACACCAGAATCACAATTAAAACATTAAAATCACACAAAAGATTAAAACACAATAAAAACAATAAAATCACACAAAAGAATAAAACCATTAACACTTTCAAAGTTACACAAGAAATTTAAAAAAATAAATAAATAAATGACAGCAGTGCATTAAAAATGGAGATAAAATCCTTCAGTTGTATGCACAGGCAAACAGAACAGTCTTTAACCTGGATTTGAACATTGACAGAGTAGACGCCTCCCTCACATTTTCAGGGAGATTGTTCCAGATCTTAGCTGCATAGATCTGAAACGCAGCCTCCCCATGTTTGGTTCTCACTCTGGGCACCAGCAGGAGGCCAGTCCCTGTGCTCCTCAGAGTCCGGGCTGGTTCATATGACACCAACATGTCACTAATGTATTCTGGTGCAAGGCCATGGAGAGACTTGTACACAAGCAGAGCTGTTTTAAAATCTATTCTTTGAGCCACAGGAAGCCAGTGCAGAGACCTGAGGACCGGACTAATATGGTCATACTTCCTGGTTCCTGTCAGGACTCTAGCTGCTGCATTTTGGATGTACTGCAGCTGCTTACAGGTCTGTTTGGACAGACCTGTAAGCAGGCCATTGCAGTAGTCTAGCCTGCTGGAGACAAATGCGTGGACAAGAATCTCCAAGTCTGCCCTGGACACTATATTTCTGACTTTGGCAATGTTCTTCAGATGGTAAAAAGCTGTTGATGTTATTGATTTTATGTGGCTATTGAAATTTAGGTCTGAGTCCAGTATCACCCCCAAATTTCTGACCTTGTCTGAAGGAAGTAGGGAGAGAGACTGAAGTTGACAGATGACGCCCTCTCTTTGTTTCTGGGGACCAAAGACAATGATTTCGGTTTTGTCTGCATTTAGCTGGAGGAAATTATTTTGCATCCACTCACTGATCTGTTGGATACAGTGAAGGAGCAAATCCAGTGGTCCATGTTCTCCTGCAGTCAGTGAGACATAGATCTGAGTGTCGTCGGCGTAATTGTGGTAGGACACTTTGTTTCTTTGTATTAACTGACCTAACGGCAGCATGTAGAGATTAAATAGGAGAGGTCCCAGGATCGACCCCTGTGGTACTCCACAGGTCAGGGCCACATGATCTGAGACGCAGTCTCCAATCTCCACAAAGTACTTCCTATCCTCCAGGTAGGACCTAAACCAGTCTAGGGCTGTGCCAGTGACACCAACCCAGTCCTCCAGTCTCTGCATGAGGATCTCATGGTCGACAGTGTCGAACGCGGCACTAAGATCTAACATGACCAAAACTGTGACTTTACCTGCATCAGTGTGAAGTCGAATCACATTATGCCAGTCTCACTTTGGTTGCCTTAGATTTATTTACCACAATGTACATTGTAATATCCATAAATGCTAAATCCTATTAACGGTTTAATAAAATAAAAAAAATCAATGATTGCATTACATGTAGTTATCATGTTAGCTCTTTTGTCTTTTTACAACTTCAGCAGCTTTTTGTTCATATAGTATGTTCATAAAAGTACAATATTTATTTTATTCAACTTATTTTTATTGTACAGCACGTTATTGTAACTTATTGCAATCATTACTATGACATTTTTGTTTTGACTCTGTAGGAAGTGGCCACAGTCCTGTTTCTGAAGACCGAAGTGATCCTGAATTTGGATCTGATTCTGAACATTTTCAACAGCTTGATCCTTACTCATTTGAGCCACTAGCAACACCACAGCCCCTTGATGGGAATAATGAAGGAGAGACAGATTCAGAAAATGAGGAAATTCACAGAGTGGGAAACAAAAACTGGTGAGATTGAAAACTATTGAACTATTTTTATGGACTGTGTAAAGGTCTTATACCAGAATTCAAATGTTTGTTATTATATTTTATAATGATGATGATATAAATTATTGAAACATTAGGCTACATCAAGCTTGATATAAATTTCATGTTACCATAGAATATAAGTCATATAGATAAACTATCTATTGATTTAATTTACAGGTGTCAGTGCGAAAAATGTGCAATCATGTCTCAGGTTGAAGAGTGTTATTGCTGTCAGGAGAAAAACACAGTTTTTGCAAGGATGGAGGAATACAATTCAGAAAATGGACAGGACGTATCCTGCATCACAGAGCATGAGGGGTTTGAGTCCATTTGCTTAGACCCGTGGTCACTGGAGATGGCATATATGTACCTGAAAGCTGATGGGTACATAGAACCCGATCTGTCAAATGAAGCGTAAGGAAGCAATTGAGATTTTACAAAAAAATCTACAAATGACTTTTGGCTAATAGAGGATTCATTTTCAATTTCAGGAAATTCAGGTACACAGGATATCGGAGATTTGTCCAGTGGTGCTACGGGACTTTGGGGAAAAAGAAAAGGGTGCCATTACCCTCGTGTGTTCTGGTCCGAATAAGAGATACTTATCCTGATGCAGGTGGCACATATAGGGGCTTTAAATTACCAACCTTAAATTAGTTAGAATAGTAACTAAATAAATAGGAAATGTTTCAGTTGTATAAACATTTGTTTTATTACAATTAAAGATGTTTTGTTCACTCAGATCAGTGTGTTATTATTGCACAATGTTCAATTAAGTTTGAATCTTGTTTTGTGCTGTCTTATAGCATCTTCCTTTGTGACTTTATTGCATTGACTGGTCAGAGGCGGTGGTTTTGACTTCTCAGCCAAGTACTTCTCGCCAGCCAGTAGACGCTTACATACACAGGCCATCAACGGATCAATGTAGTCTATAAGTAAAATAACAACTTTCATGAATACAAACAACAATGAGTTGTAAAGTATTAGATGTTAATGCTGAAAACTTACTGTAAGTGGCTCCCTCAAATATTTTGCATAGAGTGTGGCTCCCTTTCTTGAATTTCGGATAAACCAAATTGTATCTATCCTGTCCATCCTTAGTTTTCGCCTGACTTCTGTTTGCATTTTCATTGTGGTGCAAAATGGCCAGACGATATCTATGAAAAAAGAGGTAGAAAAGGGCTTTCATTACAATAAATAATGATAGGTAAAAAAAAAAAAAATACGGAGATAAATGCTTACCTTGCCTCAATACCATGGTAGCTGAAATGAAGCATCTTTGGGGCAAAGTGATTGAGGAGTGAGTGAAAGGATTTGACACCTGATGTGACACTATTGGGAGACAGCTGTCTTATGTCTTTAATAACATTGTTGGTGAAGACTGTCTCGATGAGTCTAGTGTAGGCTTTTGAGTCTATATTTAACAAAACAGATTAATTTCAACACCATTGCAAATTAAACTGAATCCTAGAAGATGGTGCATGCACTAAAAGATAAAGCCAAGCATTTAAAAATTTGTTAGAGACAATACAGGTGAAGGAACAGACTGTCAGTGATTTAGGAAGATTGAGTAAACGCCAGATAGTGCCTATAATAGATCCTGTGCACCACAGACCTCATGCTCAGCAGGTGATGCAAACAAGAAAGATTATGCATTTCTTGAAGAGCTTATTTGCAAAAGCAGATAAGTGTCATTTGAACATATTTTTGGATGCTTCTAGTTAAGTCTTTGTAAATGTTTTGTTTTCAAAAAGTGAATTGTATTTGATTGAGGTTGAAATATAATTCAAAATGTCGGATTAAATCAGATTCAGATTCCACTAAATATGTCAATAATAATTGACATATAATAATACTAAACAGATATCAATGCTCTCTGCCATTACTTAGAACAAAGATATCCAGTGTGGCATTTAAACTCTTCATTTGTTCTCAGTTTTATTTAATCTATAGCACTACATAGAAGTATAATATAATGAAACCACAAACTGACTATTAACATATATTTTACAATTTTTTTCACGTTATCTGAAATGTACATAAGCAATATGATCATTACAATAGTCAACATTTGAGAATTTACATATTCATTTTGGTATACTCACGGCTTTGAAAATACTTTCTTTCCTCAATTTCACCATGCAAACAGGTTGGAAATAGTGGACTCTCATGTTCGTGGACACCTTTTATATGGTTGGCCAAACCTCTCCAAATGGCTTCATTGACATCAGGATTACCATCCCCATTATTGGCACACCAATAGATGTGCTTTGAGATGGACTGTTTCCATTCACTGACAAGACCACAGTCTCTCTCTTTACTGACTGCAAGAAGCTTCTTTCCTAAACCTGCAACAGCACAATAAACATTACTTAATTCTACTTAAAAATTAAATTCAAGTATGACCTATAACACACCTTTGTCAAGATGCCAGACGTCGACACTGTGCTTTATATCAGGCTTTGTTTCTCTCATCATTTTGCGAATTGATAGATGCCTATCTGTAACCAACTCCTTGATGACAACGTCATTTCTGTTGAGCTGATCTAATGCTCGGAGTAAACCTTCTTTCTCCATAGCTACGCTTGAGGTGACTTCATTTGACTGAAAAACAAAGCATAGATAAAATATTTACTTTTTACATGCATGCATATTTATGAAATATAAAACCGTCACCTGTACAAGCTGGGAAGCAATTATTGTTTTGCTTTTCCTCTCCATTACTGTGTATGTACCATACTTTGCCGAGTGCCCTAGGCCAAAATTACATGACACTTTACAAAATCACATAATCCATGGACAACTACAATGTGGTAAAGCTGAGCAGAGAGAGATGAACCCATGAATGCTGTATTTAACTGAAACTCAATTTTAGACGTTTCACTATGTGAGCCTGAGTATGTGTGTGAATTTGTGTGTGAAAGTGTGTTTGTGAGGTAAACTGTTTTGCTTGTATTTGATTTTAATGTTTGTAAAGGTCTTTGTGTTGCATTTTGTATGAAAATCACTTCATAAAGAGTTTGATTTATTGATCATCAAATCATGTACCTGGACTGTCTGCTCTTCCGTCCCCACTTGCAACTATTCCACTTTGATTTGTCACTTTCACTTTTTGCAACAGTTCATCTTCATGATTCGTAAATACTTCATTGATTGACGGAAGTAGGTACTGGGCTTGATGTTTCATGAAAGTATCATAGCTGATGCACTGTACATTCATGTGGTGCAGCATACGAAGGGCCTTTGATGGGGCTAGGCCAGCAAAGAGAATTGCTGCACTCAGGCATATGTTTCCCACTCGTGTTCGCGACAACATTGGCTGGCTGTTCCACAGTCTCTCAAATCTACAAAAGCCAGATTGGCATTCTTGCTTTATGGATATTGCTGTTCCAGATACAGTGCTTATTGAACAGTCAGTTTCTGTCGTGCATTGTGGGCACATCTTAAAAAGTGACAAAAGGCTGCTCTCTGAAACCAAGTAAAATTTTTCTCCCGGCTGCCATGATTCAATCCTGGAAATTACATATAAAAAAATGTTAATGTGTCTGAAATATTCAACTTTTTCGCACCTCCACAAAATACATACCTTTCTGACTCTTCAATAATGTCCTGCTCATCTGCGATGTAATCAGGGTCATCAGCTTCCTCTATGGTGAAATCCTCATCCTCATCATGGACTTCAAAAATATGAATTGGATAATCCGAGCTACATGCCTTCTTGGATGGTAGAGTACACTGTATGGAAACGGAACGCTGGCGGGGTCGAACTGAAACTCCTATCAATATAAAAATGTTTAGCTGAGTTAATTAATACATGGCTGAATACATGAGTAATATATATATACACACATACATACACATATATATACATATGTGTATGTATGTGGATAAAACTGTACCAACATACCTTTGCTCCTGTACGTTGACTTGTTTCTGAATGTGGTTTGTGTGGATTGATCTTGAAGTGAAGGTGTAAAGGTGCCAATGCCATCATCTTCATTCGAGGAGCCCGCTGATGTTGATGGATGCACAGGGTCCATGGCAGGAATAAGGAGAGAATTTATCATCTGCAATAAAGAAAAGAATAACCTGTCATATTTGATCTCATCAACACCTGTCCATATCACAAAAAAACTGAATTTAATAAGCTAAATTACTTGCCAATTGTGAATCACTTGTTCTTGTTTCTACAGATTTCATCAAGGTCCTTTAAGACTTATTTAAAGACTATTTATTTAAAAAAAACAATGCACATTTTACAGAATATTTCTTTAAGAAACTCCTGAATTCATTGAAATTGTGGGTAAACAGCAACAGACTAAACCAGGAACAAACCCATAACTAAAATCAGACAAAGCCAGAGCTAAAACAAGAATAAAATTAAGCCAACTAAAGCAGAGAAAAAAACGGACTAAACCCTGACTAAGACCAGAACTAAACCAGGTCCAAACCAAGACTAAACCAAGCCATAGCCTGCCTACACACAAGTTACAACTTGTTACCACGTTCTATATTTATCTTCAAGCTAGCAATAAGAAGGACACCCATTTAAAACTCTTAAAACAAGGCAATTAGATTTTAGTAAGAGTCTCAGTCCTAGTTTATTCCTGGATTAGACCGGGGCTACGTAGGATTGTCACAAAATCCCAAGGCACACATGGACGTGCTTCGAGGAATAGTGACAGCGGCTAGCTAACCGTGTTGCTAGTACACGGTTAGCTTATGACAGGCTACAGTAACTAGACTTAGTATGGTTTTTGTGTGTTTGTGGCTACCTAAAATAAGCCTATAAGTTCGGGTTTTAACTAAAACAAATGAACAATGAAAAAAGCATAACTTACCCTCCGGTGTTCGAGCTTGTGGGTCAGAAGTGTGCGTCTGTCCGTCCTTGCGGGAGTCGGGGAAGCCTCGCTCGGCTTCTTTCGTTTGAAGACTGTTGGGATGGCATCAGGTTTTAATGTAGCCCGTGTCTTGTACCCCAAAGACGCTGCCACCGAATTAATGTGTTCAAACGAGTCCAACGTGAAGTGCTCAGAGCAGACAACACAGGATCTCCACGCAGCAGACAGATAGGGAAGCGGAGGGCCGGTCCAATGAAGACGCGTCCGTTTCACTTGTCTGTTCCACTCGTCAAATCGCTCTTTTTCAGTTGTAGGATTTGGGAAGCTGTGTAATGAAACGCCATCCTTGTTTACATTACTACAGCCGTAAGCGACACACGTTTTCCCCATCGTTAAGCCGAAGAAAAGTAAAAAAAAAAAGCGGTTGTGTAAGTGTACAGTACACAGAGTAGGCGCGTGTTCGAATGCGGGATGCCAACCATCTACGTCACACGTCGGGTGGCATGTTTTTAACTGGTGATTTCTAAAAGTGTAATAATTTACATGTTTCTCTTTTTTTTCAGTTTTCTTTTTTCTCCCAAAATGTTTATACGGCTCTAACCTTACAAAAACTGCAATTGGTAAAATAAAATTCTAGTACTACTTTAAATAGCTAGGTCACTGGTATTACATTATTAGGTAACTAAACTGCAGTTGTTGCATTTTGAAAGTGCAGCAGAAAGAAAAAGGGCCCAATGTGAATCTGCAATGAGTGTGGAGTAGAGTTGGAGCTAATGAACGTGTGGAAAAGTGATCGTTCATGCGTATCTGCCGTAACCAAAGCAGAAGATGGCTCCAGGAGACGTCTGTTATTCGCATGGGAATGTTTCGGATTCGGGTTAATTTATTTCCTGAGGCTCTTAAACAACCATGGGCATGGTTCTCTGACCGCCGCTGCTGCCGGTCCCTGCTGCCTGTTCCTGCTGCCGCTCCTGCTGCTGCCTGTCCCTGCTGCTGTCTGTCCCTGCTGCCTGTTCCTGCTGCTGCCTGTTCCTGCTGCTGTCTGTCCCTGCTGCCTGTTCCTGCTGCTGCCTGTTCCTGCTGCTGCTCCTGCTGCTGCCTGTCCCTGCTGCCTGCTCCTGCTGCTGCCTGTCCCTGCTGCTGTCTGTCCCTGCTGCCTGTTCCTGCTGCTGCCTGTTCCTGCTGCTGCTCCTGCTGCTGCCTGTCCCTGCTGCCTGCTCCTGCTGCTCCTACTACTACATGTGCCGCTGCTGCTGTTCCTGCCGCTCCGCGGGCTCCCAGGCGGCACCTGTCTCTACGGCTCGGCTCTTTCAGACACGTATGTAACCTGGCTCACGGAGACAAGCGGCGCACGCTGGCGTGACACGTCTGTTTCGTCGCATGGCGCCGTAAAGATGGCGCCGTGGCAAGAGCTCTGGTGTGTGTCGTCTCCTCTGTCTGGTGCACACCGGGGTAGTCTTGCACAGTTTTTCCAATGTGGTTTTACTGCAAATGGCAATAAATGAATCTGAATCTGAATCTGAATCTGAATCTGAATCTGAATCTGGTTTGTTCGTATGAATCGCATTGTGCTGCTGCTGCTGCTGCTAATGCTGCTTCTGCTGCTTTGTACTGCTACCGCTACTGCTACTGCTGCTGTGCTGCTGCTGCTTCCTTTACTTTGACATCTCTCTTCACTTTACATCTCTTTTACTGAAACACTAAACAGCTACAACAATATTCTACTGCTGTGGCTTTGATACAGGATTATTGCTGTTATTATCTACGGATGCTGCAACTGCTGCTGCTTCATGCTGCTGCTGCTGCTGCTGCTGCTGCTTCTGCTGCTTCTGCTGCTTCATACTGCTACTGCTGCTGTGCTGCTGCTGCTTCATTTACTTCGACATCTCTCTTCACTTTACATCTCTTTTACTGAAACACTAAGCAGCTACAACAATATTCTACTGCTGTGGCTTAGATACAGAATTATTACTGTTATTTTCTAAGGACGCTCCTACTGCTGCTGCTGCCGCGGCTTGATACAGGACTATTGCTGTTATTATCTGACGTTACTGCTGCTGCCGCTGCTGCTACTGCTACTGCTGCAACCCACTCTCTCAGAAGCTTATCCTGCTTCTAATGGACGCAGCCCGGCTGAGTATGCCGCGCTGCGCTGGACTCGCACCTATGCTCCCAGGGTCGCTTCGGCGGTCGTGCTTCATCTCTCTACTTAATCTTCTGATTCTATCAGATGCAGCTGGCCGAGTAGCTGCGCTGAGCCGTCAATCGGACTCCTAATCAAAGGCATCCATCTTCCAAGTACATGTCTGCCCTCCTCGCAGCATCTTCCTGCTCGCCTTCTGTGGCTTCTCTGCATAAGCGTTTCTTACTTCCGCCTCCGTCGAGCAAAGACGTGTCTCAGACGCTCCTGCTTCTGACTGCTTGCTATCTCCTGTTTTTGTCTTTTTCCTGGAGTTTTGCCACAGACAACTTTAACAAGAATGGAAATGATTAACTGGTCCCTCAACGCAATTGATTCTATCTTTTCAACACATAAGCGTGGGTCTGGAGAGCCCGAGTGCCCGGACGGGACCTCACCAGCGGGTTATACTCTTGACAGCTGGAACAAGTATCAGCCCCTCTGTCTGTCGACCCTGTCCATTGAAGATTC